CCCCCCCCCCTGCCCTTCCGCCACCATGCGCCCCATCACCCGGGCGGTGTTCTTGCTGTTGCTCGCGGTGCCGGCCCTTGCCCGGGCGGCCGGGAGCCTCGCCGGGCGTCAACTCGCCAATGCCCCCGCGGAGGCCTGTCCCACTGGACACTTCTTCGATGCCTCCGCCGGCGAATGTGCACCTTGCCACACCTCCTGCGAGGCCTGCTCCGAGGCCGACGCTTGCGACCGGTGCCAGCCCGAGCTGGGGTTCCTGTCTCCGGTCCCCGGCCAGCGGTCTCTCTGTACGCGGCTCTGCCCCCCGGGGCAGGTGCTGGACATGGCCACGGCCGGCCGGTGCACGGCCTGCGACGCCAAGTGCGAGCTCTGCGCCGAGGCCCCCGACCAGTGCACCGCCTGCGCCCCGGGCTTCAGCTGGCACGATGGCCGGGCCCCTTCCCCCGGCACGACCGGCACCTGTGCCGCCTGCCCGGCCGGCTGCCACACATGCAGCCTGGACCCCAATCAGGGCACCCGGTGCTTCTCTTGCATGGCCGGATGGCTGCTCCACTGGCAGGGCACCTGCGAGGTCGCCTGCCCGGACGGCACCTTCGCCCTGCCCGGGGATGCCGCCTGCCGGCATTGCCCCCCGCAGTGCGTCACCTGCACCGGGCCCAACCCGGATGACTGTTCCTCCTGCCAGGAAGGCCTGCGGCCGGGCCCGCCCGGCACCTGCCAGCATGACTGCCCCATTCGGACGTACCCCATCGACGATGGCGACGATTCGGCCGCCTCGGCCACCTGCCTCGACTGCAGTAGCTCCTGTCTCACCTGCCACGGCCCGGGGCACGACCAGTGCCTCAGCTGCAAGACCTCCTCGGAATATCTGGTCGAAGGCCAGTGCCTGGCCAATTGCCCCCCGCGGCACTTCATCCAGGCCGGCCGATGCCTGCCCTGCCATCCCGGCTGCCTCGAGTGCCAGGGCCCGGGCCCGGGAGATTGCTTCCAAAACCGCTGCCCGACGGCGTTGTTCTCCCTGCCCACGCCGGGCAGCCAGCTGGTGGCATGTGTGCCCAGCTGCCCGACCGGCACACTGGCCCACTTCGACCGGTGCCTCCCCTGCCCGGAGCACTGTCTCTCCTGCCACGACCCCTACGCCAGCAAGCCCACGTGCGACATCTGCGCGCCGGGCTGGCTCCTGGCCCCAAATCGCCTGAGCTGCGTGGCCTCCTGCCCGGCGGGCTCCCTCCCCCAGGGGCCCCAGTGCCTGGTCTGCTCCGAGGGCTGTGCCTCGTGCTTCGGCCCGATGCCCGCGCAGTGTCTCGCCTGTCTGTCAGACTACCCCCTGGTGGTGGATGGCGAATGTCGGAAGACCTGCCCGGCCCGGCTCTTCCCCCAGGCCGGCACCTGCCTGCCCTGTCATGCCGGGTGCTTTTCATGCTCGGCCGGCGGCCCGAATGACTGTCATAATTGCGAAAACGACCTCGCCCACACCGTCGAGGGCGCCTGCATGATGGACTGCCCGGCCGGGCAATACGAGGATACCTGGTCCGAATGGGCCTCCCGCACTTGCTACCCATGCCCCGGCGAGGGCTGCGCCGAGTGCACCTCGGCCACCGAGTGCACCCGCTGCGCCGATGCCCTGGTGCTGACCGGGCAGGGCCTCTGCGCCAGTGCCTGCCCCACTGGCGAGTACCTCCCCCCCGGGGCCGGTGCCTGTCTCCCCTGCGACCAGGGCTGCCGGACTTGCGCCACGGCCGCGGACTTCTGCACCTCCTGCCCGGCGGGCTCCGACCGCTGGTTGCAGGTCGACTCCGGGCTCTGCCTGGATGCCTGCCCCGAGATGCACTTCGCCCGGGTGGAGTTCCCGACCGAAGTGGCTCCGGGCCTGGAGCGCATTTGCCTGCCCTGCCCGGAGGGCTGCGACCGGTGCACACCGGCCAGCCCGGCCCCCGTGTGCCGAACGGCCCCGAGTGGCTTGCTCCTGTGCCCGGAGATCGCCACCTGCGACAAGTGCAAGCCCGGCCTGCTTCTGCACCAGGGCGCCCGGTGCCTGGACGCCTGCCCGGCCGGCTTTTTCCCCGACGCCAATGGCTCGGTCCCTGCGTGCGGGGCCTGCCACCGGGACTGCTCCGAGTGTGTCGGACCCGGCGTCGATGATTGTGTCGGCTCCTCGTCCGGCCCGTCCGGCCATCCCGGCCTGACCATCGGCCTGGCCGTGGGCATTCCCCTGGCCATCCTGCTGCTGGCCAGCGTCGGCCTATGCATCTATCTGTACCGTCGGCGTAAATCCCCCAGCGGTGCGCAGCCCTTCCACCTGCCTCCCCCGGACCCGGTCCCTTCGGCCCTCACCCTTGACTGACCTTCCTTCTTTCACCGCCCCCACCTTGTTCTTCCGCTGCTCCTGCCCAGGCGACGTGCCCATGAAGCCGCTCCCCCGGGAGCTCGACTGAGTCGCCCTGCCTTTTTGTTTCCC